CATCTCTTCCATTTGGCTATTCCTGTGTTGTATTCTTTATAATAAACTGTAAGATAAATAAAGTGTTTTCCTGAGTTCTGTGAGTCATTCTAACAAATTGTCAAACCTGAGGAGAGGCTTGTGGGAATCCCCGACTTATAGCTGGCTGGTCAGAAGTTTGGGTGCCCCGACTCCTGGGGGCTGCAACTGGCCTCTGGGGTGGGGACAGCCTTGTGGGACAGAGCCCTTAGCCTGTGGGTTTTGTGCTATGGAGTTTGTGCTGACTCTGGGTAGTTAGTGTTAGAAAAAGGACTGAATTGCTGGCAACCCAGTTGGTGTCAAAGAATAAAAGACTCCAAATATGCAGTAACAGGGAAAAAATTTCTCATAGTCCGGATCAATGAAAGTCAGAAAACAGTCACAATTATAAAATCAGTTCTAAATTCAACTTGGGGAATCATTACTTCAGTTTCATCTAAATGCCAAAGTGGCCCTCATGATTAAAGTAGCAATTCATTAGTGATCCTTCAAACGATATAATCAACACTATGCTTCTACTTAATTAACATCTGAAGTTCAGGTCTTGGGATAGCACTGAATGCTGGAGGATTACATTTTAAGTCTTATTTTGAAATAACCTCAAATTTACAGAAAAGCTGCCAGACTGTCACAAAGAATTTCTTTAGGGGCCTCTGGGTGGTTCAGTTGGTTAAGCGTCTGACTCTTGGTTTTGGCTCAGGTCATAATCTCAGGGTGGTGAGATCGAGCCCCCGCTGGGCTCTGCACTCAGTGGAGAGTCTGCTAGAGATTTTCTCTCTCCCTCTCTCTCTAAAAATAAATAAATCTTTAAAAAAATAATTTCTTTATACCCTTTACTCAGATTCACAAAATTATAACACTTTGCTATATCTGTACTATTTTTTCTAAATTTTTCAAGTAAATTGTATACATCATGCTCTTTATCCCTTAATATGCATGCTTCCTAATAACAAGAATATGCTTTTACATTACCATGGTATAGTCCCTGAAAAAGTGAGTGTTTTTTTCTTACACAGGATTCAATTGAGAGTCATGTCTTCACTTGGTGGTCAAGCATACTTAGTCTCCTTTAACCTCTAAGGACTCCCGGCCTTCCTTTGTTTTCATAATACTGACAACTTTAAAGAATACAGGCAAGTCATTTTATTGAATACCCCTCAATTTGGGTTTCTCTGCTGTTTCCTCATGATTGGATTCAGGTTATAACTCTTCAGCTTAAATATGACATAATTCATGGTATGTTCTTCTCAAAGTATCATATCTGGAGGTACATAATGTCCATTTCCCACAATTACATAGTTACCATTTCTCTATTTGTAATTAATTAATTAGTTGTGGGAATTAATTTGAGATCATGTTCATAATTTGTTCCTCAGGAAACTCTCTCCTCTCACCCCAGATTTAGCATCCAGTGATGAAATTTGCCTGAATCAATTCTTACTATGATGACTGCAAAATGGCGATTTAATATCTCCATTACTCTTTTCATATTTATTAGTCAACATTCTATGGTAAAAAAAAAAAAAACTTTCTCTGGGCTCCTGGGTGGCTCAGTCGGTTAAGTGTCCAACTCCTGATTTCAGCTCAGGTCATGATCTCAGGGTCATGAGATCAAGCCCCACATCTGCATCTGCATCTACATCCATAGCTCTGATCCTGCTCAGCAGGGGAGTCTGCTCAGGATTCTCTCTCTTTCCCTCTGTCATTCCCCCTGCCCGCCTGCACTCCAGAGCACTCTCTCCCAAATAAATAAATCTTTAAAAAAAAAAAAAAAAAAGAGCTTTCTCTTCTCCTTTATTTAATCATTTATTTATTTTATTAGTTCAAAGGACTAATGGATTATTTTATTCAATGTAGATATACACCCACACTCCACTTATTGTCCTTATTTAATACTCAAATTTGGCCAGGTGAAATCCACAGAAGCTGGCTTCTGGGTCTTTGACATGTCCCCAAATTTTGGGCAGCCCTTCTTTCCCTGCTCCAGCCTCTGAATCAGTCTTTTCTCCAAAGAACTCATGAGTTCACTTTAGTGAAGATGAGTATTTAGAATCTAAGGTCTGGGTGGAAAAATTGGTATTTTAATTCTGAAAAAAGAAAAGAATCCTATCAGCACTGCCTTTAGATTAGTTTGTGAAAGATGCATACAAGATTCTACTCAGGACAACAATAGTCTACTTGAGCTCTAAAAGAAAAGGGGCTTTCAAAATGTATGAGCAAGTATTTCAACTTGGCCAATCAACTATGACTTACTCTGTAAGCTATAATAGCTCACTCAATCTTACTTTAGAAATCTAAAAACTGTAAGTAAACTCTCTGAGTCTTTAATCAAGCTATTCCATTAACCTTCTGTGAAGGGCATCCAACTCTTAACAGGATATTAAATATTCTTCAAACTCATTAGAAGGCTGTATTTATGTTCTGTTTACCACCAACCTGCCTTGGTTTAAGAGCTTTCTTTCATGCCACCGACAGAAGCAAGAAAAATATCAAGAGCAAAGGCATCATGTATTAATGAAGTAAAATAGAGAATACAGAACACAAAAGGCCTATTTTAGTTGTGACTCAATAAATTAAAACCACATTTAGTATAGGCTAACTTTATCCACAGGCAAAGACCAAATAAATCAGTCTGAAATGCAAAGTTCATCTGTAAGCAGTCTGCAAAGATCAAATAGGATCTTCTTTTCTAATACTCAAACATCAATTTTTTTCAATACTTTGAGGTCTCTATCTCCCTATGCTTTCTATAGACGAAAACCAACTAAAGATTAAAAATCTAAGGTAATAATCTACCATTTGAAAAGAAAAGAAGCTAAGAAGTATACCAATAAAATTTTAAAAAATAAAAACAACTTGGAACTTTTAAAATACAAATCTTCTTTCATAATATAATGCACATGTACAAACATTTTAGGATACGATTTTTTAGAAGTAGCAAGGATAGTCACCGAAGGTACATGACTATTACGCACTTCAGTAATAGAAACCTCACCAAATACCATATAGACATAGATACAGATATACACACACACCCACATTTACTAGAGATCAAGGGATAGTGGGAAAAAATGGACCCTATACATCAACATATTATATGACCTTGAGTAAGTTACCTAATGTTTACAGGCTTTCCTACTGTCACTTATAAAAAAAGGCAATTAGAGCCACTGGGTTTTATAACTTCTTTACTATTTCATATTTCACCATGTTTTACCATTTCACTGTATATCATAATTTCATAAGGTTAATGAGACTTTCCCAAAGCAAGAAACAGAATTTAAGCTTAATAAGAGTTATAACCCGAACCCAATCATGAGGAAACAGCAGAGAAACCCAAATTGAGAGGTATTCAATAAAATGAATGGCTTTAATACCCTTGAGCTCTTTACTAGTAGAGCTTATTCTACCAGAAAAACAACTTGTATCATTTATTGGAGACTTACTATGTTTGTCAGGTACTGTGCTGAACTCTTTTAATTGCATCAGCTCATTTAATTCTTAAGACATGCCTACAGGAGGTAATACAGTCCCTCAGAATAGACAGAGCTTAAAGAGATTAGCTTGCTCAAGGTCCCAACAGCTAGTAAACCACAGAACCGAGACTCAAACAAGGGGACTCCAAAGCTTATGCACTTAACCACCATGCTACACTACTTCCTCATAAATAAATCATGAGCCAAATTCATCCTTAATTTAATCTCTAACAGGTACTAATTATTCCCTTTCTAGTTACAGTACAGAAAATTGCCACAAGTGACAGCCAACCTAGAAACAACTCCAGATTAATCATGTGAACAAAAAGAGTATTTAAAGGCTTGCTTTTATTGGGACGCCTGGGTGGCTCAGTTGGTTAAGGGTCTGCCTTCAGCTCAGGTCATGATCCCAGGGTCCTGGAATCGAGCCCCACGTCAGGCTCCTTGATCAGCAGGGAGCCTGTTTCTCCCTCTTCCACTCCCCCTACTTGTGTTCCTGCTCTCGCTATCTCAATCTTAACAACAACAACAAAAAAGGTTTGCTTTTATTAAAGAGAAGTGCTGTGTTTTGGGTAATAAGCAACCTTTCTTTCTAATAAAACAAAGTAACAGCCATTAAATCTGAAAGACCAGCAAAGATCTTAAGGTGTGATATTATTATTCAAATACAAAAACAAAACAAAACAAAACTCCTGACAATTACCCCAGGTGGTGGGGTTTGTCCAAGAGAACATCTCTTCTGATAACATCAGCCTTATCTCCAACACCATTTCAAATTTACTGAATAACTCTGATTACCAGCATAAAGGTTCAAAGACTAAGCCCTAACAACAGACATTCTTTTTCTTACTTCCAGCTAGGCCACTTCAACTAGCTGTCTGCTGACTGGTAGAACACAGTTTAACTTTAGTGACAATCCTTTTACTGGGTATATAGCATTTTAAGAAGCAGATGACAAAGATAATGTACATACAAATCCATGCACTAGAAAACACATACTATGGATTACTTTCACCCCTCCAAAAGCCCAAAGCAAGCCTTTTCCTATATGTTCTCTATGTATTTCTTCAAGATGCAAGCTGTCTCTCAAGCGCTCAGAAAACCTCTATTTTAGGTGACTTTCAGCCTAGAAAACAGTCATTTCTGATTAAGGTATGGTTAATAAGGATATTATACAAAGGAAAATAAACCAGAATCCCAAAAATTAAAGGCACAAAAACCAAAACATTCAAAAAGATACACATTTGGATGGTAATACATTTTATAAATAGAACTACATTTTTGTAGTCCTACGGGGTAATAAACAAGCTTCTCCAACACACAATGTCCTCCAACCAAAGATTTTTGGTGTTATATATTGTCTGACCCTTAAACCCCACTTCAGTTTCAAATCTGAGTGGATATCCCCTGAATGCTTACAGAAATTAAAAAGCAGAGCCCACATGCACTGTGGACCTACTCTGTATCTCATTTGAGCACGGAGGAAAAAACGAATCAGAAAATTACCCTTTTTTGATCCAACCCTGGATGAAGCACTGAAGAATTTCTTTACTGTGGTAACCTTGCGGGTCTTCTCATTGGTTTTCTTTTCTTCAAACTTGGAAAATGTGAGGGACTGGGTCCCTGGGCCGCTCTGACTGCTGGCAAAGGCCTCTTCCTCCTCCCGCTGAAGTCTGCAGTTCAAGAGAGGATTAAGAATGAGCCAGACATCCTCTAAGTTTTCCCTGTATCTGAAGTTATTACTCAATGAATTGCAGGGGCATCTAGAAGGTTTAGAACTGGAGGCTAAACACACCAAATAGGTCTGAGGTGTCTGATATGAAATTATCCCTACCGGATCCTGGACTTCAAAAGGGACCTTCTCCATGGATTGTATTCATTTAGCAACTGTAACTAAATGTAACTAAGGTTACAGAAAAGCACTAAACTCTAGTCCTTTCCACTAACAAGCTCAAGGTTGAAAAGGAGAAAGAGATAAGTAATTACCATGTAACGCGATAGCTCTTACAGTAGAGAGTAAAACCTAACTGCTGTGAGAATATAGCGAAGAACAACTTAATCTGCTAGAGAAGTCCAAGGTTTTACAATGGTGACATTTAGGCTGAGCTTAAGAGATGAACAAGGTTCCACTGGGCAAAAGGACACTCAAGAGATGAACAAGATTACACTGAGCGAAAGGACACTCCAGGGAGAGGGAGCTACAAATGTGAGGGCAAGTGGTTTCTTTTGCCAACTAAGTTAAGCGAAGTCATTGATGGTGTGACCAGATGGTAAGAAACTTTGACAGCCAAGTCCATTATAATCTTAGATTTCACCACATGGTGCAGAACCAAGAACGACTGTAAATCCAATAAATTACCATTATCAGATCTGTGCTTTAGAAAAATAATGCAGGTAGCTATGTGATAACTTGAGGGGCAATAATTAAGAGTATATTATACATGGGCGCCTGGGTGGCTCAGTCGTTAAGCGTCTGCCTTCGGCTTGGGTCGTGATCCCAGGGTCCCAGGATCGAGCCCCGCATCGGGCTCCCTGCTCAGTGGGGAGTCTGCTTCTCCCTCTCCCACTCCCCCTGCTTGTGTTTCCTCTCTTGCTATATCTCTCTCTGTCATATAAATAAATAAAATCTTTAAAAAAAAAAAAGACTACATTATACAAAGATTTAAGTGAAAGAAAATAAAGACCAGGAAACTAAGAAAGGGTAAAATTCAAAAGACTTCTCTGAGCTGGAATAAGTTCTACTTATCCAATTAGTTTTAGAGAGTGTGGGAGAAATTAAGAATGATTCCAATGTTTTTTAGCCAACTGAATAAAACAGTGATGTCATTAATTGATACAGGAAGAAGGGTAGGTAGGAGGAAACGTTGGGATTGAGGATTAGAATAAATAAAAACAAATCTGGCCTAGGACGAGCTGAATTTGAGGTATTTATACTAAATCTCAAAGGCTGTCCATAGAACAACGGCTCTATATGGTGATCCCAGCAGCATCACCTGGGAACTTGTTAGAAATCCAAATTCTCAGACCTCACTCCCACCCTACTCAAGTCAGAGACTCTGCAGTGAGGTCCAGTGATGCCTCTTTTTATAAGCTTTCCAGGTGATTCTCATGCTTGTTCAAATTTGAGAAACAGTGCTATAGGAAATCTCAAGCAAGGTCACAAATGGAAGCAGTAAGAAAGAGCAAGGAAATCACAGGCAGAAGTGTTAGTCTGAAAGTGGAATAGGGACACACCTCCCTCTGAGACAAAACAGAAGTTAACATAAAGATATTAGCACATTTTGCTGTGGAGAGGGAAGAAAGCTAAGGGAATTCATGCCTAGTGACCTCCACTTTCTTCATGAAATAGGATCAGCTACTGAATATCAGTGGGAAACAGGATGAAATAGTTAACGTTCTATGTCTACATTTCCTGTCTTTGACCATAGAGTTATTGAAAGCAGTGAGCATGCATTATAATTGAGTTCACCACAAATGCGAGCAAAGTGGTCACTCAACAACTATGGCTGATTAAATATAAAAAAACTAGCAAAAGCTGTCAGAATTCAGTCTGACTTTCTTTTATGGAGAAGTTTTACTGTTCCTAGGATGTTTTGGCAAAAGATTAACATCATGCATGGTATTTTATTCATCCCTATGCTCACCAGCCATTCCATCTTTTACTTTTTACCATAATCATATTTCTGGATAATATAAACTACTTTTCACTAACAAACCCCATTTTTAAGAAAAGGTTAAGTTTCTAAAATGCAAGGGCCATGTATACAAATCAACAAGTTTCTACTTTTGTGTTTATCACCATGTCAGATGCCATGCTGAATCTATTACAAGAATGAGGAAAATGATGCTTGATGAGAGCCATGTGCCGAGTCCTGTGCTAGGGACATCACAGATATTACCTCAGGTGACCTTCACTATGAAGTATGTGTATATGCATTCTTCTAGTCCAAGAAGCCTATTATCTATATTAGAGAACTCAGACTAACACACTCTAAACACAAAATAATTAAAGGAATAAAGATGAAAATGAAGTAAACACTGAAAGCTATTCATTAAATGCTGACTGAGAAGAAAAGGGTAAAAAATTTCATTTCTCTTAATACTAAGCTGACTGCTGACAGCTCACAACAGGAGAGAAAAATGGATTTTGACAGTGACAGAACTGTATATCCAATCATATCACAGTTAAACCACCCCTATTTAAGTCCTTTTACCGCTCTGCCAGTTCCCAATCCTCCTGAATCTGCTTCTGCCTTGCTTTGTGGTACTCTTCCCTCCAGCACTTGGAGCAGAAACCCTGCCAAGCAGGGTTGCCATAGTAACCACATCCTTTCTTGCAAAGGAGCTCTGACTGATCCACATGAATTCCTCGGCGTTCAGACTTAAGGCTCATCTTCTTCCTGCTAATCAAGTAAATAAGAAAGTGATATTGCAAATGAATTCACTATCATTCTTCTATTACCACAGCAATTAAGAAAAAAATGTGAGTCCAGGGGCGCCTGGGTGGCTCAGTCATTAAGCGTCTGCCTTTGGCTCAGGTCATGATCCCAGGGTCCTGGGATGGAGCCCTGCATCATTGAGCTCCCTGCTCCGCGGGAAGCCTGCTTCTCCCTTTCCCACTCGCCCTGCTTGTGTTCCCTCTCTCGCTGTCTCTCTCTCTGTCAAATAAATAAATAAAAATCTAAAACAAAATGTGAGTCCATAATCTTCAAGCTATAATGGAGGAAAGGAAGGCAGAGAGGGAGGGAAGAAGAGTTTAAATATAACAAGTTCCTGGGGTACCTGGCTGGCTCGGTTGGTGGAGCATGTGATCTTGATCTCGGGGTTGTGGGTTTGAGCCCCACACTGGGTGTAGGGATTACTTAAAATCTGGAAGGAAAGAAGGAAGGGAGGGAGGAAGGAAGGCAGGCCCATCCGTCCTGACAGTCATACTAAAGAAAACACTTATTTCCTTCTCAATAATATAAAGAACACTTTCAGAAAGGACTAATATTGGGTTAAAGACCTAAATGTAACACATGAAACTATAAAACTCCTAGAAAAAAACTTCATGACATTGGATTTGGCAACAGTTTCTTGGATATGAAACCAAAAGTACTATAAGCAACAAAAGGAAAAATAGACAAATGTGACTGTATCAAACACGAGCATGGCGGAGGGTGGTAGGGCAGAGGGAGAGGGAGAAGCAGACTCCCTGCCAAACAGGGAGACCAACGTGGGGTTCAATCCCAGGACCCTGGGATCATGACCTGAGCTGAAGGCAGACGCTTAACGGACTGAGCCACCCAGGCACCCCTGTAACAAATGTTTATAACAACATTATCCACAATAGCCAAAAGGTGGAAATAATCCAAATGTCCATCAACTGGTAAATGTATAAACAAATTGCAGTATATCCATACAATGGGGTATTACTTGGTCATAAAAAGGAATTAAGTACCGATATACGCCACAACAAGATCAACCTTGAAAACATTATGCTAAGTGAAAGAAGCCAGTGATAAAAGACCACATATTATATGATCCCCTTCATGTGAACGTCCAGAACAGATAAATCTACAGACAGAAAGCAGATTAGCAGTTGCTTAGGACTAAGGGGGAGAGGATAGGAATAAAGGAGATAGCTAAAGAGTATGAGGTTTCTTTTTGAGATGATGAAAATATTCTGAAGTTGGCTGTCATGATGGTTGCCACTGAATTGCCTGACCTTTAAATAGCTGAGTTCTATATGTGAATGATATATCTCAATAAAGTTGTTTTTAAAATACAGGTATAGGGGCACCTGGGTGGCTCAAATGGTTAAGTGTCTGCGTTTGGCTCAGGTCACGATCTCCAGATCCTGGGATAGAGCCCCATGTCGAGCTCCCAGCTCAGGGGGGCATCTGCTTCTCCC